CTTAGAGTCTTTATAATGTAGCCTTTGATTGTATATATTAAGTTTGTGATTGATTGTTATGCTCGGATTTGCAAAGTCATTAATAGCTGTAGTGACTAGATTGACCTAAACTTTGACTCCCTAAGGAAAATCAAGTCTTGTTTGCTCGAGAACCTCCCAGATCAATAGCGACGGAAGTGCGAAGATGAGATATAATATGTGAACCAGAACTTACTCATTGTTTATAATGTGCTGTTATTATGTATCATAGTATATTGTTTTAAAATTTTATTTTATCTATAATATACGCTTAAGTAAAATTTAAGATTTACATTGCTCCACTATCATTATAATATTACTACGGTAATATACGGTACAACTCCTATGCATTCGGAGTTTACCTTTAAGAAATTGTTACAGTATTACTATTTTCCTCTTTATGTGAGTTTTACCGTGTATAATATGTACTTGTTTAAACAATTGTTGGTAAACCAATAAAAAAATAAAAATAGTGTGTACTGTAAACTGCGTCGGTGGCGCAGAGGCAGCGTATACGAACGCTGTGCTGAGATCTCGGGTCCGATTCCCTGGTCGGACCAATTGTTTGTATGTGTATTTGCGCTAGAGCCTCAAAGAAAGAAGACATTAAATACAATTTTTGAATGCAGCAAGAAAGAATATCAGTATGACTTAAATTATAGAACCAAAAAAAAAACTGGAAATATTATATACTGCACTGTTTAAGCGGTCGCCACGCCGCTTCCTACTGCGCCGAGTGTTGTGGGTTCAAACCCCACATGGGACGACACTTTGTGTGATCCACAAATTGTTGTTCTGAGTCTTCTTTGTGTCCGTTTCATGTATGTTTGTAAAGTCCCCCGCGACACAAGAATTACTACTTTTAGCAAAAATAAATAATTATGCTGAAACGCCTTTTGATCCATTTTTTACTGGATGCTAATTTCCTCTTTTTTTATTATTTTCCCAAAACCAATATATACGAGTATTCTATTAATTTATTCTATTAAAAATCTTCTAAGTCAGATTACAAGATCAATCTCTTGCTATTCCTTCCATCAATACACATTCTATTCACTACAACAGTGCCCTTCATGTCAACTCATCAAGTCATAATCTTAATAGCTATAACAATATTACCTCATTGAACTCTTTTTTCTTGGATTATTTCCCTTCTATGGAACCTTTTATAAGTGATTTCAAGGTCAATTTTATATTCTTTGCAAAGTACCAAAGTCAGCTATAAGAAGTGACCGTGATCGACGAAAAGAGCTTTATGTTTTTAAAGTGCCTACTTTAGTCTTCGTCTTTTTGACCTTTTGAATTTTTGTATTTTTATAATCTGTTTTTTTTTCACGTTTAAAACTAATATGTGTTAAGCGGTCAAGTGAAGAATTTTTAGGTCACCAGTTTTTAAGCAAAAAAAGTATGTTTAACTGCGACGAGGTTGTGAAAGCAAAGCTTTATTTTTGTGAGCTAAAAACAAAACAAGCTAGCTGCACGACTGATGTTGTTATAAATTCTATTGTTGGTCCATGAATTCAGAATAAGAACTTTGAGATATTTATCTGATTGCAGAAATATTCTTTGCTGTTGTCGAATTTAAATTAAATAGTTTGTCTTTCAATTTAACTTTCAATGTCTTTATCGCAGAAGTCATTTGAAATAAACCATACCTATTTAATTTCTATGATTACATTTCCATAAATAAAAGAGAAAATCATTATCATCATCTGCTGATGATGATAATGATTTTCTCTGGCTGCTGCCTTAGTTAGTAACTTCCTCCCCTTAGAAATGAGGTTATAGCCTGCTATACCACGCCAGAGTTTGTTTCCAGTTTGGTTCTGGTTTTAAACCATACCACACATAAACAAATGGAGTTATAAATATGTTTGAATTGATTATTTTTAAACTTGGAAAAGTTCCGTATTTTTTTATATGAAGCTTGTTAACAGAACCACAAAAGGAAAACCTGAAAGATATTGAACGCTGTAATAAAACCACTTGTGATGCGTTTTATAAACGTACACTTTTGTTTTTGATATAATTCATTGACAGTACAATTTAATCATGATAAATTATGAAATGACCCATGTCATCATTTATCATGTTTATCAATTGAACTGTCAATAAAGGTGTCGAAAAAGGTAAACCTTTTTGAAATGCACTGTAACTAGGCCTACTCAACAAAAAATGTTTGAGTTTAAGTTTGAAGGTCAGTATCTCATATTTATCCAAAATTGTTTTATTTTATTTCACATAATGTCCAAGAGGCCTATTCTCGTCCTAAACCTCTATTTATAAATTCGGGATTCGGGCTCCCGAACTTATCTCTAAATCACTGGTCCTCTTCCAGAGCCATCCTTTCCAAAGCCGATATTAAGTTTAAAAAAATATATTGATATAAATAATAGGGATTAAAGTATGTAATTGCCGTTGTATAGTAATAGACTGAATTAACATAAAACCTTCATAATGTGAGATTTTCGTTTAAAACTTTTTTCATATTATACCTATAAGGTTCTTCTTTAAAAAAATGTGCAATATATGATTTTATTGTATTTTATTCAGCTTAGACGTGAAAGATGGAAACTTTGAAAATTCGAGTCATTTTTGAAACGAGTTTCGACGCGGAACTAACGCGCGCTGCGTTTGGAGAGGAAACTGCTAATGAACGCAGCCTGCGTTTTTGGTTTAAACGCTTTCGTAATGGAAACTTCGACTTAAAGAACGAACCACTTGGAAGACCGCCCACATACGTGAATAACGCTGAATTGAAGGAGATGCGTGTTGAAACTTATGTTGCCTTGTTGAATCGTTACACAAATGAAAGAATATTAGATCGAATTGTGACATGTGACGAAAAGTAGATTGTTTACGACAACCGTCAGCAAAAAATGAGGCAGTACAAAATGCTTTCACACAGTTTGTCGAATCTAGATCCTCAGAGTTCTATCATAAAGGCATGAATAAACTTCCGTTTAGATGGTAGCAATGAATAAATAATGTGGGTAAATATTTTGATTAAATAAATATGTTACATCTTAGAAAAAAACGAGTTGCAATTTTTCAGCACACATTGGCAATTACCCCTAATATAACTAACTTAGCATATTTTCATCATTTTACATTCTAAGACATAATCTAATTCAACAAAACTCTAATACATCTAACACATTCTAAGAAAAAAAATACTTCAAATTTAGTTTATAATACTATTAAGTCCCAAAATCTTTAAAGTATGTATTTGCATCTGCATCAAATTAGAGGAAACCTATTTTACAAGCTTTTATTTAACTTACAATGACTCAGTTGAAGAATGATGAAGAGAAGGAAGAGAAGAAAAACTTGACATGAACCCTATACCAACCCGTCTGGCCAGCGTGGTATAGTAGGCCAAAACCTCCTTTCTAAGAAGAGGCCTATGTCCAGCAGTGGACTATTAAAGGTTTTTGATGATGATGATGACGTGAAATTTTGTCTCTATGATTGGTTGCGTAATTTAAATAAAGACTATATTTATAAAGTCATTGATTATTTTCCAGATTTTCCCCTGTAGTTGTTATAGAAGACGATGTTACTAAACAATCGATTTCTAAGTTAATGTAAAAAAACGGATTTTATATATATTCGACACTCTCAAGGGACTATAAATTTATAGGGTACTTCTTGTTCACCTAGAACTATGAAATTTCACAAGTAACATCGTCTTCTATAACAACTACAGGAAAAAATCTGAAACTATACATTTACATTACAAATTCACAATACATTTACATTTTTAGAATTTTATGTAATAATTCTGGCCGCTACGTCTATTTTTGTAATCTAAGTAGGACCAATAGGTAGGATCAATATAAAATACTAGCTGACCCTGCAAACGTTGTTTTGCTATTTACATTATTTAATTATTATTTTTTTGAATTTCTTAAAATCCGTTCTTAGCTGACCTCTACTCGGTGAAAAGAATATTCCTACCAAATTTCAAGTCTTTAGCTCTAATGGTTCCAGAGATATCGTGATGAGTGACTATATACGAGGAAATCTCTTATATATATATATAGATTTTCTTAAGTTTTGGGTTTAACTGAAAAAACTTTTAGTTGAGCTCAAAGATTAAGAAAATATATGTACTTTAGTAATAAATAGACAGCATCTCTGTACAATTTTTAATTTAACAACTTTTTTTGTATTTTATAAGATGCTCTCAGAAGTTATGATCTCAAACTCTCGAACCTCGATCGCTATCTGTCAAAAGACACATGTTTATTCAGTGACTAGGTAGTAAGCATTAGGAAGGTATCTAATTCACCCATACATAATCGTCACATCGACACGGAGCGAACAAAAGTTGTTTTTATGCGTATAATACGCAATTTTACGCATAAAACCCAACTCGCTGTCCCAATGGTAAACAATAAACATGATGCAGCCTGGTTGCGTCATGCAATAAGAGTCCTAGTGAGGTCAGGATAATAAATAAATGTTGTTATGTTACTAATTATTAGGCTAATGTTTATGTTATTAAGTTAATTGTTACTAACACATTGGGCCTAGTTGCCACCTAATAAAGGATTATTATTATAACCACATCACCGACAAATAAGCATAGTGGAATAAGAAAAAGTATGTTCAATACTATTTCTAATGCCGTCATTTCTAGTATTAAATTGGAAAATATTTCAACGCTGGGTTTTTTACTCAAGAGAAAACTAAATTTTTTGAAACTAGAACGTTTTAATTTCTTTGAATTAGTTTTGTTTAATAGCTTTCAATCGGTTCCTTATATTTTATTAAGGTTTGCAGAGAGAATACAAAAGCTACTGGTAAAAATGTCTGTACCTACTTTAATTTAAGAATACAATTCTGGATTCGGTTCCGCAGTCGGTGTAATTTTATTGGACTTTCTATTTTTAAATCATCTACAACGCAGTGTCTGAAAAAACATGACATTCTTGCCTACGCCCTATTAGGTTTGAACAAAAATATAAGACAATGTTATGGCAGACAGAGGTGTATACATCTGTGTCTGCCAGTCTTACGTGGGTAAGTAGGCGTGAGTCAGTGTTTGTAAAAAGTATTTTAAGCTAAAAGAATAAAAGTAAAATAATACTGTTTAGTAAATAAATCTGTGAATATGAGACATCAAATGACTAAACCTCAAACGTAAATTCTCCAGGTCGTAAAGTATTAGACAGAGGTCAGACGGAGAGCCCTAACAATGTAGCGTGTTTGCGAGCTCTGTGCTCAGTTAGTATACATGAGCTTATGGACGGTACTAAAAACCAATTAAGCATAGAATACGTCCGGAACTTGACGTTCCAGATAATGGACGTAGATAATTTAGAAACGACATTTAAAGATAAACTTGAACAGAAAGATGCTTATTCTGTGGCAATTGGTTAAGATAGTACTTGTTACTGTTATTAGGGATCGAATATAAAATTATTTGAATGTTATTTTAGTAATTTGGCTTAGGTAGCACTAGGCGTTGCATATATCGAAGAGGTTAGAGATAGGAAGATTAATTAAAATTAATGCTCTAAAAAGTAACCTGCTTTGAAATACACATATTTTTTAAAAAACACATATTATATAGGCAAACAATCCAACAACATTAAAAAAAACGGTTTATTAACTTCAATGATTCGCTCATTTCTGAAAACCTCTTTGAATATTTTTGTGTTAAAAGAAAGTAAGAAGCGGTTTATTGTTAGGAAAAACCGAAACCTATTAGAGAAGATTTAATGTGGTAATTATAAGATTATTGACATTAAGAAATTTTAAAATTAAGCTTGAAAAAATCGTCAGAAATTTTTTGGATATGTCTTTGAATGACCGAGGCACGCTCCATTCTCAACAGTTTTGTTTGGGTTCCTAAAGTATCACTGATTTTATTGTTCAGTACACAACAAAGAAGAGTTATTCAGGAAAATTCTAAAAGCATACCATAAATGTTAAGCCTATAACATGAAATCTTGACGATAGATGGCTACTCACAATAATTTCTTACCTAGTAATCCATACTTTCAGAGGTAATTTTAATTAACTTATCTTATCACTCATCATTGGGTTTTATGTTTGCTGAGGAAAATGGGCTTATGGTTATCTTGAAAGACACCTTGCCCGGACATAAAAAAAAAGACGTGTGGCACTCGGGGACTGCCGCGGTAAAGCTATTGCATAGCATTTTGTATCAACTTATGCAATTATAATTATTTATTTATTTTATTTATGCAGTATTTCTTTTTCTTTGATATTAATTCAAGTTACACTTTTTGAGCGTGGTGACCGATAAGAAAACATATTTTTTTCTTTTATTAAATAAAAATATTGAAGCATATATTACAATTTGTTTTTAAAGAAATAAATAAAAAATATTATTATTAAATCAAATTACATATCCATGTAAGATTTTTCTGCATTATGTTGACGAAATTTCCTTTGACGTTCAGCATTTGATTTTGGTACTGTTTTTTGTTTTGTTTTTAGCGGTTTTTTTTCGTTACGGAATTTCTGGATTCGGTCCCCGCGCTCAAGGCCCTCGATAGAAGCTATGCAATAGCTTAAAAGTTAAAATTAATTCTGTAAACGACGATGGTGTAGATAAATGTTTATTTGGTTGCCTATCTTATCCTGCTCAAAAGACTGACTGACAGATACGTTAACGGGCTGTTAGAGAATCCAGTAAACGAACCTCAAAGTGACGTGTGAACTTTGCCATTTGTTTTTCTTGTTTGCTCCTTTTTATACATAGATAACGCAATCTGACAAAGTTTATACTCGTATATTGCTAGCAGAACGGTTGGTAAACACTTTCACAATACAAATGTAACGATCACTCACACCATTTGTATCAAACTTTTTAATAGAATTTACATTGTATTTGCCCCTTCTTCCATTATTGTTAAAATAATGAAATAAGTACTTTTACGGTAAGTAAGCAAAGTGATAAGTATTGGCTAAATAAAGACTATGCAGAAACTTGAATTTTAATATCGGGTTACTGTGTTTTAAAAAGTTATAATTAAAGGTAGAAATTAAAAGTTAGTAAAACATATACACCAAATTTATTATTCATACATTGTTATGTTACGCGATAGTCTAAGTTTTAAATTTATTAAAACGTCTTACACGTTACGTTACGTATTAGTACAAGTACATGAAGCTTTCTTGTTTATTTCTATCTGGAATTATTTTATTTATTGGTGTGTTATAATCAAATAATATGCTAAAGGAACAGAAATTTCGAAGGTAGTTTGGAAGTAGGTAGTCAAAGCGAAACTACACTTAATAACATTTTTCCTTTAGCTTCTAACACTAGGTCTTTTTGTTCAGTTGATGATTGAAGATATTTACAGAACAACTCAATACATTGACTAATAAATAGCGACCTATTAACAACATCATGTGATAATATCTTTTAACATAATTATTTTGTATCGTCTGGCGGTTATTTTATTTAAAATTGTACCATAACAGGTCAACAGGGCAACATTAGTACCTTATCATCCTTCCTCCACACACTCACCACTGTAACTCTTGTTGACCACGATCAACAGCAGTGACCCACAAACACACCTAGTTATGACCCTCGAGATGTCCCTCGAAAAATGAAACTATCTTAGAACCCGCAACGAAATTTATCAGAAGAAAATTGGAGGAGTTGGAAATATAAAATATCCACTTGCCTCCTTCGCAAAGTGGTACACAAAATTAAGTTAAAATGGACGTACACCCTTTTAAACAGGGCAGCACCACAAAATATTATGGGTCCTAAGTGAGCTATATTTAATTTCTATAATGTTATTATGTATGGCAGCATCGGATAAGAGCACCGAAATTCACCCTAGTTGACACAAGATCCTCACAGTTTACCACCCCAGATCTCACATGTTAGCTATTCAGCATTACATTATGTTCATTGTTCCAAAGACTACATTCTCAGAGGATATGATGAGCAGGCTGTTCACAGTTAGAGCCAGGTGTTGCGCCTTAACACAATGGTGACTCGATATATCGCAATATTTAAGTAATTTAAAAAAAACTTATTGTTTATAAATCACAGCTTTTAACATTTCTTCTAAATTTGAACATTATTCCAAACTTTTATATTCCCGTTTGTTAGCGTTTATTAAAAAAATACGTACAGAGTTCATATATTATATAAAAAGACAAAGTATATAATGTAACTATCATTATGGTATGAGGCTAGCGTCACATTTCGTAGCGTACCTATTTCGCCCTTTTGTTTTAATCAGATTGTCCATTTTCCGTTGACTATTTCGCTATGTTAATTACATGAATAAAATTTTCGGACATCTGACATACAACGATATCTAGTTTCAAACTATGTACTTGTACTATGATAGCTAGATTGACTGATAAATTACATTTATACTTTTTCTTTGTAAATACATACAAATTATGTATTTGCACCCAAATTGCAAAACAAATATGTGCAGATCCAGAGACTTCAGTACAGCAGTCGCAAACGCTACCACTGCACCATCGAAGCAGTGAAAACCAACGAAACAACAATATCACGAAACCTACACGTTAAGGTAATTTATTCAATGTTATAATGTACTACACAAAATAGAACTACAACAAAAAACACAAAATATAATTAGTTTGAGATAGGATTCCATTCCACAATTGTAGTAATTAATCCATTAAATTACCCCCATTAACTGTTTCATAACAGTGATCCCTACCTGTAAAGTAATTAACTGAATTAGCTTATCACTTTATTAACCATGAAGTTATTAGCATTACAATGGTGGAAACACATTAGATCATAGGATTAGAAATTGTTTTTAAAATATAATTGTCTTTGAATTAACAATTTAGAAAACTCGTTTGAAAAGTTTTGACTCCGATTGGTCTAAGTATATTAGGAAGTGTTTAGTTTATCGATAAATTAAATAAGATTTTTGAGTTTTACAAGTTATACAGAAACTGTCTCAATCAATTATTCGACTCCTTATTTAAAAAGGGTTCTAAAATAAACTTGTCAACGTATATTAATTATAACATAGTATGTATTTCTTGTAATTAAAACTAAATGTCTATTGAATTGTACAATAATGTACCTAATACGAATATAGCTACAATAAACAAATGTTATTGAACTTGGCATATCTTCTGTTCAGAATCAAAGTGAAAATTTTGTACCTACCTGGATTCAAAGTTATTTAAGGTTACAGGAAAACCACATTATGATAATTATGGCTGGTTGAACTTGAAGGGTTTCCTGTTCAATTCAGAGAGGCAAACTGCGCGGGGTATTGTTCTGATGAATTGTATGATTTTGTCACCGTCCAAACATTTGTTCATGTATCAACCTACGAACTACCTATATCGGTATTTTGTACCGATTCTAAAGAAAGCAATCACCGTACTTTAAATGTAGAACTAGAAATAGGGTAAAAGAAAAACACTTAATAGATTTACTAACTTTACCGTCACAGAATGAGAAGAATAAAAATTGCAAAAACAACATTCCAACACGTCCTTTTTTTCAGAGTGGTTGAAAAATGTACTCTCAGCTAACATTACTCACTCGGTAAAAACATCAAAAGAATATAATAGAATAGTTTATTGCCATAGAATTTCTTACTACGTGAAAAACTACACGGTGATTAACATCCTTTTTCCTCTCCAAGTCGGGGGAGGAGGAGGTGATCACAAAAAGGGTTGCAAAACACCTATATCTCTTGGGTTCCATGTGTCTAGGGGCAGCGGTAGTCACTTTCCATCAGGTGGACTGTCTGCTTATTTGCTCCCTATTATATTTAAAAATATAACTAGATTTTCACGATGGTTTTATATCCTAAGTAAGGAGTTTGTAGTTAAAATATAGTGTCTGAACAAAAAGCGGTTACTGTAAGAAAAATAAGAACTAAATATTCGTATTTTACTTTTTACTGTATTAAATAGATATCATTCAATGAATTGCCACTATTAAATATATAATCTACAGCTTGATGTGAGTGTACCCTTAAAAAAGTACCACATAGACCTCCCGCCTAAATGGGGTGTGAAATCGGCTGAAATAGCGAAAAGGGCAATGTAGTATGAAAGACTAATACAGAGTTCTTATCTACTTTTTACTGCATTGTTAATTTGAAAAATGTTCACCATGTCAGCAGATCCAGACGTAAAGTAACGTTTTCTAATTGATTGATTATTTTCTACAGTTATACATGAATGAAGATATTGTCTCATTCGTTTTTGACAAATTGTGACTGCAACACCTTACAATAGTTCATTAACGACAAATATTAATAAGTACTAACCCCACAGGGATTCCAGCAGTGGTGTTATATTCCTTTTGTAGTATATAATCACGTTAAAAGAACGCTTTGGATTAATTACACATGCAGTACTACTGGCGCGACTGT